ACTTCTGTGTCTCCTCATCTCAAGTCCATAATCCCTAGAGCTTCATGTGGAGTCTGTGGCTGGAGCCACACCCAACACAGAATAGCCCATCCTCAGGCTCAGCTAGGAAGGATGTGGATGCAATTGCCTTGGTGAAGGAAAGGTCCTCCTTCCACTGTGGGGTCCAGAGCTGAAATTCAAGTCATCCGGACTGTGTAGCAGAGGCACCCTTACCTGCTGAGCCATCTTAACAGCCAGTGATGGTTATTTTTGATAGCAAGTAGCACCACCAGGAATGAAGAACACTCCTCTCTCTCTCTCTCTCTCTCTCTCTCTCTCTCTCTCTCTCTCTCTCTCTCTCACACACACACACAGAGAGAGAGAGACACAAAGAAAATCATTTGAGCTAATATAAATTTTAGAAGTCACACTGCTTTTTGAGTGACAAAATTTGTGTGTTCAAACCTTGCCTTGCCTAGGGTCTAGGCATTTTGTGATTTTTTTTATTTTTAAATAAAAACATGGCTGTGACATGGCTTGACTTTGATGTAATAGCTCCTTGCCCTCTTCCAGAGTGGAGAGCACCAAGGAGCACAGTGAGAAGTTTGTGTGGATTTGGTATGGCCAAGGCCCCATTCTACCAAAAGCGCTAAGCTCCAGGAGAGACAGTCATCTTTGCTTGCATTCAGCATTTTCATGTGCTTTGCACTCGGCTCTGCTGGTATTCAGAGAAAGATGTTACCATGGCAACAGCTACAACAGATGGTATTTGATCACTGTCCAAGCTACAGAGGAGATAGACAACAGTACTTCCTCTGAAGTTTGCATATTTGTTAGCATGAGACCCTGTCAAACCTTGATCACAATTGAAATATGAGCTTTTCCATTTGTTTCTCTCTACATATTCCAGGCTGACCTGGAACTTGCTATATGTACCTGGCTGTCCTTGAAATCACAGATATGCCCCTGCTTCTGTCTCTTGAGTACTGGCCTACAGGATCTGAGTACAGAGACTGTAACACACACAGCCATGGAGGTTGCCCTGCAAACCTGATGTGCAGGTACTGTAGAGAACCTATTCAAATTGGAGGTGATGGCAGACTGTGAGAAAGGACTGCTCACGGTGGAGGCTGTGCTACATTCGTCTGTATTCAAATGGGATTCTGGGGAAGGCATTCTGGCTTTTGTCTGTTCCTTTCTCCTGCCCTGTCCTTCAGACAGTCACCTTCTGTGTCTAGGCCACATGGTGGCCCTTCTGCTGGGCTTCCAACCTCAGCCAATGCTGCCCACTGGAGCAATCCAGAGCTCTTGACCCATCTCTATGGCAACAATTACAAAAGCCTTCTCACCCATTCCCAGCCCCCTCAGGCAATACTGAAATGTCAGGCTACACACAGATTTGTTTTCTTTTAGCTAATTTTGGAAAGTGGTTTATGTTGGCCGAACCGTGCTAATGAACAGTTCTGGTCCTATTTACATACTCTTTTTGTAAAGAGTCTCCTCTCCATCTCTCTACCTCCCGTTGTTAACAGACACTGGGTGTCTGGATCACACATGAGCCAGGAACCTCTCTAGAGGTGTCATGAGGGCATTTTTGCAATATAATGAGTCCTGGAATGCTGCTGCAATGGGGGCGGTGGCTTGCAGTCTTGACAGCTGAGGAGCTGGGTTGCTCACCTGTGCTGTATTTGGAGGAAAACCGTAAGGTAACTTGTAATCACGAGAGGACTGGGATCAAAGCAGTAGGCCCTACTTCTGATCTCATTCCAAATGAAGTCAGCGGTTGGAATCCAGGCCTGACCCCTTCCTGCTCCCCAGCCTCACTGTGTTCCTGGGGTGCAGATGAAAAGAGTGAGGGTCCCAGCCCCCTTGTCAGGAGTGATTTCTAGTCCCAGAAGAACATGATTAAAGAATGGATTTGTGACTTGAGGAATTTCTTTTTAACTCCTCTGGTGCAGAGTTCAGGGCACTGGGGACAGTTTCAAGGTACTTGTGGGTTTGTGGATGACCTTTACTCGGTGGCTCAGTTTTTGTTTTTAAATCTAACATTTTTAGCCTTTTGGATGTCACCCCTTTGGTTTTCTTGGTGCCCTAACGCTTCCTTCTCACCTAAGGAAAGACATTTCAGATGCTTCTCCAGTTCATATGCTTCGGGAGGAATCAGGATGGGCGTGGAATGGCTCTGTGAACCCCAAAGAGGAAGAATATGTGCCTGCAGGCCCCTGAGCAAGACAGGAGGGCCTCCTGGGTGCAGCCCCCAGCCCTTGCATTGACCTGGGCAATCTTGGTCAAAGCCTGCCGTTAGTTTCCTTGCCTCAATTTCCTCATCATGTGGCCCTCACTAAAATCAGTTGCATCCAAAGATTGGAGTCCAGTGCCTGACACATGTGCATTGAGGCTTACTGGCTGAATGAACCATCCATCGTGGCCATTCTGGGCCTCAGCCCTGTGGCCCTCTGACTGGGTGATACTTCCCCAGAGAGGGAAGTCCTACACATAGAACTTTTGCTGACCTCTACACAGTAGAGGGCTGTTGACACCCCCCACCTGCATTATGGCAGCCTTAAGATGTCGCCCATACAGCAATGTCTTCTCTTCCACTCTTTCTCCACACCCAGTGAAGGAATGTGAATGAAACCCTGAAATTCTATGAAAGACTGTTAGAACTTCAAAAAACTAAGCATAAAGTATGCTTATTTACAATGGTGGTCTATTTAGACTTACTCATCCTTCTCTTAAGATTTAACACCATAAGGAATCCTAGCAGATGGCTGATTGAAATATAGTAGGGCTAGCTTTGCAAGAAGAACCTGCCATTTGCTGTACATGATGCTATATATATATACACCACACGCATTCCTGCTGTCACATCATCCAGATGAGGGCACCAGATCTCTTGGAACTACAGTCACTGACAGTTCCATACGGGTGCTGAGAACTGAACCTAGGTCCCTTAGAAGAGCAGCAAGTGATCTTAACCACTGCACCATCTGCAGTTTTTGCTTGTCTTTTAAGACAGGGTCTCCTCTAGCTCAGGTAGGCTTTCAACTTCCAGTTCTCCACCTCTACCTCCCAAGTGCTTGGATTATAGGGGTGTTTCAGAATCCCCATCAAATTCCAAACTTTTGTGGTGGGGGATAGCAGCTTGAGCTGGAGGTGGTTGTGGATACCTGCAGTACCAGCTACTCCAAAGACTAAGGCAGGAGACTTAAATATTCAAGTTTATCCTAGGCCGCATAGTGAGAGTCTTTCTTTAAATAAATATGTGTGTAAATGCATATATATAAATATATGTCACAAATATATATATATATCACAAATATATATATATAAATATATATATATATTTGTGTGTATAACAGTGCTTCCCATGAAGTGTTTTGCTATACAGATATCAGAAACAAGCCATCCCAGACAGTATTTTTTCTTATGACTAATACTTTCTCTTACAAGCAGGATTTTGTAATAGGATAAAACAGTATTTGGAAATGTAATTCTTATACTTCCAAGTGGCAGCAAATTGCTTCCTCCCACAGCATGTGCCAGGGCAAGGCAGTGATCTCTTCATCTCTCTCTGTTTCCCCCTCCTTCCAAGATGGTAGAACGTGGAGGCCTCATGACTATACAGCAGCAGTGTGCCTAGTGAGGCTGGCTGTTTGGAAGGAGAAGGAACCTGAGTTTTTAATAATAATAATTTTAAAAAAGCACCAGGAGAGAGTCCCTTCAAACTGGGTCTGTGTGGGCTTTTCTAAGATGTCACAGTTTCAGTCAGGTGTCCCATGGCCTGTTGAATTGGCTAATTAATGAGAGCCACTATCTCTATCAGAGCCACCGTCACCTTGAGACCATGATAAAAGCATGGAATGTGTGGGATATTATAATACACTCCCAGAATCCAAGACCTTGGGAGGTAGATGTAGATCTGCAAATGGGTGGAGAAGGAAAATGTTGGAAGTTGGTAGCAGAGTGGCCACTAACTTTGGAAAGACTGACACAGAGCTGAACTAACTCTCATGTTAGAGCTTTTAAGATGAAACACTTCCCACTGTTGTGGCTGTGTGTAGTATCCAGACATTGCCTGAGAATGGAGAGAAGGGCAATGTGTTCATTGTGAAAGACCAGTCCTTTGTCTGTTTAGAATAGACTCTATGGAGTAAATACTGGTTTGAGCACATACAAACCTCAAAGGTGTCTGGGAAATCCTGTGACAGGAGTTAGTTGTGGATGAAAGTGGAATGCAAATTCTATGAAGTCCAAAGATTGCAGTACCCAGTCAGAGTTGTTTCTTTTACTTGTGGTCACCGGAGACATTCATCAAGCCAGAATAGTCTCCTTGAAAACAAAAAGTAATTAGGCCTGACAGCTGAAGTCAAATCAGACCTTTGGGAATGACCTAATTGCTTTTTGTTCAAGGCCTGGCATCGATTTGCCCTTGGCCTTAGTGTCAACACAAGCAAACATGGGCAGCCTCTGGCTGGTGGCTCTATCCTTGCCACTGAGAGGACAAAGGACAGCAACATCCCAGAGGTCTTTGGCCTCTGTGTTCACCTGCAATGCCGGTCAGGCAGAGAATTCTGTGGGTAAACACTGATTGCTGCTGAAACTGCCTCTCACCGTTTGGACCTTTGGCTGCCTGCATCTTTACTGACTGGGAATTTCTCCCAGCAGCTAGAAGATGGGTGGGTCTATCAGTTTCATCCCCACCTCTGTGTTACTGGCAACTACTTAGTTTTGAGGATCACACTGTGGTGACATTGATCACGATGAGAGATCTCATTCCACCCTAGTTATTTTTGGCATCTGTAAGCAATCCAAGGCCTCGACTTCTGGCACCATGTGGTTGGGATATTAAGTAACTGCTTCCTGTGCGAGTACAGACAAAGCTTTGAGAGTCCTAACCTTCTCCATCTATCTCATTGGTCGTTTTGAGCGCATTCTGCTTGCTGTTGCTCACTTCCTAATGAGTATGTCTGGAGAAAGCTGAATGTACATTCAATGTGTCTTGTGTTTTTCTCCTCTAGATTGAGAACATAGATGCCTGCTTGAATTTCCTGGCAGCTAAGGGAATCAACACCCAGGGGCTGTCTGCAGAAGGTGAGTCAGAGCCCACGCCTTCTCAATACTAGCAGTGCCCACCTGTTACCAAAAAAGTAATGGCTGTAGTCAAGACCAGGGGTGCTGGTGGGCCATCCTGGTTGGGTGCCCTTCCAGGCAGAGTTGAGGATGCTAACTTTCTGACAGCTCACAAATCACTCTCAGAATTTGACCCAGTGTGCATGCCACAGAGGGTGTGGGAGAAAAGAGGGAGCATGCTGCTCCAGTTGGAGAAGTGCCTGCTTGAACAACAATGATTCCCAGTCCTGTGACGCAGCAGGTTATCCATCAGCCATTATCTGTGGGAAAGAGAACATGCAACCACAGAACAAAATTCAACCATCCAGCGCCCAGGGAACTGCTTAGTCTTTAGTGGTATCACCTTTCCTTGCTCTTGAAAACCGGAAGAGTGAGGTCTGTGAACACACTACAGCATTCTAACCTCCTGATTAGCTTTTAATTAACTTTGGTGGCTAAAGTTAATCACTCATAGTGTCTGCTAGAGGTTTGTTGTCAGGTGGGGTAATGGTTTGGAGTAGGCTGGCCAGAATTATCTACCTCCTCAGACAGCACCTCCACCTGGAATCTTCTCAGAGTCCTTAGTCTCTCTCTCTCTCTCTCTCTCTCTCTCTCTCTCTCTGTGTGTGTGTGTGTGTGTGTGTGTGTGTGTGTGTGTGTGTGTGTGTGTGTGTGTGTCCTCCCCCTCCCTCTGTTTGTAAATACAGGCAGCTGCCAGCTCTGAAGCTGCCATAGGCCAGGCATCTTCCCAACCTCATTAGGCTGCATCTGCCTCCGGTTTTCCCCGGAACAGGTAGAGCAGTCGGGGCGTTCCAATTGCTCCTCCTAGTATAGCAGGAGTGTGCTCTGAAAAGATATAGGGGAGCATTGGCCCTGGGAGTTGGGGTGGGGCTGAGGGGAGCAGTGAGGCCGGAGTCCACAGATGGAGCAGGTAAGTTTGCAGACCTCATCAGTTCTACATGGGCCTTGTCTTTGCCAAGAGGTGAAAGCTTGGATCTTCTGGCTGTGTTTCTGAGCTGTTGTCTCTTTTGTGTTGGAGGTGGGTGGCATCCATGGCTTCCGGGCATAGTGTGCCTCTGCATGAATGTGTCAGGAAGGAGTTGGAATTCTCCTTTTGCTAAGCCTGGCCTTGGGCAGGCATGGTCACCACCCGGTTCCATGAGTAGCTTGGCCAACCTTAATCTCAGGACTTACAGAAAGATACCTAGAGGATTGCCCTTCCTGGGCTGCTGGCCTCATCTCTGTGGACTTTGTGTACATTGCCAGGACCTACAGGGTTCAGCAGTAGGCACAAATTCAGAGAACAAGATGTTCCACTATTCCTGTGCTGACCAGTAGGTGGCAGAACACGTTCCTCTTAGTGCCTAGGAATGGGGTGGGTTTCCCTGCAGGGAGTTTTACAGAGTTGTGCTTTATAGCAAGGAATCAAGGAGACGTTCATTGTGCAGGCTTGCCTCCTCCCCTAAGCCTGGAGATGATCCATGGCCACTTACCAGGGCACTATTGTCTGTCTTTCTGTCCTTCTCTATACTCTGTGGCATAGAAGTGGGCCCAGTGATTATTTACTGAACAAATGCCAGCTGTGCTCTGGTGGACTTGTCTGTATTGGCTCCAATTCTCATGGCTGAAGATGGAGTTTATGGGACTCGTGGTTTACTGATGGAGAAACTGGCTGAAAGCTGTTTTGAGTGGGGCTGGAGACAGCTCCGTGGGTGAAGCGCTTCTCTGTGCAAGCATGAAGACCTGAGCTGGAGCCCACAGAACCCATGGAAAATCTGGGCATGGCATCCCAAGCCTTGCCTGGAAACCTCATACTTAGAGTTGAGGAAGGTAGAGGTTGGTGACAGGAGGATCCCTGGAACTCTGTCAGATAGCCAATTGGTAAGCTTCAGGTTCAATGATGAAAGTCTCTGTCTCAAAAGTTAAAATAAAGAGACATGGAGGAAGACACCAGACATTTCCACATCTGTGGCTCCCCCACAGTGTATTTGGACATACACGTGTGCACACACATACACACCACAAACACAGAGAGTTTGTGAGTGACATCTCTGGTAAGTACTGATTTACCCTGGAAGCTAGAGACACAGCGCTGTCTCTGGAAAGGCCCCAAGGCTGCCCAAACACGGTATCTGCCTTTTTTAGCTGCACTGGACACTACTTCCCTAAGTGCAGCTCTTGTTAGTCATAATCAACTTGCAGAGTAGGAACCTAAAGAATACCCAGTGTGCTCAGCTGTCAATGCAATACACCTCATTCTTGATCACTGCTTCTCCACCACAGGGGAGAATGACCCAGGGCCAGGAGGAATGAAACCCAGGCATTCTCACAGAGGCCACCCCCACTCTCTACGACAGATATGACAGGTGGAGTCTGGAAGGACTATGAGGCAGGGCAGATCTTGAACATCACCCCAGGGCAGGGCAGGCTTACACTAGCAGACTCTGGCACATCTCCAAGAGCAAAGAACTAGGCCTGAGCTTCAAGGGCACCGAGAGTGCAGGAGGCGTGGGCCAGGGGCCTCTCAGACCATCAGCAGCACCTCTGTGGACTACTGCTGCAGCCACTGCCCTTAGGCACCCGCCGTCTGGGTCTGGAACAAAGGCTCACTGTGGCTCTCTAAAGGCAGGTTAGGGCAGGTCTGCACCACTACAGCAGCACAGGACAGGTGCACACAGCCTGCTGGTTCCAAAGCCAGCTGTAATCACTGGGAAAGGGTGGAGATGCATCTGAGGGGCTTTCCAGCTGCCAGTGTGCCGCCTCTGAGGAGGAGCCTGGGGCACTGGATTGGCTTCAAAAGGAAGACAAAAAACATTAAAACTGCATTATTTCTTTAAACATTATGATGATTTTCTGACATTACAGGTGACTGTGAACAGGGGCAGAGGCAAGTGGGAGGCCCTGGACTCAGCAGTTACGGGCCATTCTTCTAGGCGACTCCCGCAAGGAGTGTGTGCTTTTGAAGTGACATCAGCTGCCAACCTGCCCCATCCTTTCATCTTGGGTGGGGGAGCAGGAAGTCTCTATGGACCCTTAGGGTGCAGGAAACAGATGGAGTGTCTCCATTTACCATCATCCTCACATCATCAAGTGTGACACTGAGTGGCAGTTTCTGTCCCTCCGCACAAGGGTCCCCATGGCCTCTGCTTCTGTGCTCTCATCCCACCTTCCCCATAGATAGTGCCGTTGGTGGGACACAGGAACACCAAAGTGGGGTGGGTGGTTGAGGGGTTCAAGGCAATCATGCTGCCAGCTCATCTGCAGGAGCAATGCCACAGACCCACAGGGCTGGTGAGGGGTGGGGGTTGGATAAGAGATTCATAGTTTCTATCTGCAGTACCTTCCTCCTCAAGCTTTGACTCAAAATTCCTTCTGCCCTCTGGGCAGGTTTGTTTATATTGATATTCTGATGTATATGACTTTGTGACCAGGCTGGGATTCCTATTTGAAATGTTGAAACAAGCCCAGGGTGGCGGCCACTCCTTTAATTTCAAGCATAATCCTGCAGGTCTCTATAATTTGGGGCCATCCTGGTCCTTTTAGAGAGTATCAAGCCAAACAACAACAACAACAACAACAACAACAACAACAACAACAACAAAAGTGTTGAAACATAATAACTTTGCCAGAGAAGGCTCTGTTGGTAGCATGCTTGCCTAACATGCTGGAAGCCCTGGGTTCAGTCTCCAGCACCACATAAACCTAGTGTGGGGGTGCATGCTTCTAAGCCCAGCATTTGGGGACATAGACCCAAGAGTATCACAAGTTCAAGGTCATCTTTGATTATACTGAGATCAAGGCCAGACTGGGCTACACAAGACGTTGTTTCAAAAGCAAAACAAAATATAACCAGTCTTTGGCTTAGCCATCATACCTGGCATCCACTTATATTATCTCTGTATATGAGCCATTGGGAACAAAGGGGTCAGGCAGAAACCAAAGAAAGTATGTATCCTGCCAGTTGTGAATGTCACTGGAACTGAATGGTCTGTGCCATTTGTCCTTCTGTTTGAAGGAGGGTGGCTCAAGAAAAGAAAGCAAGTACTTAGCCAGCCAGGTGCTCCATGGACCAGGCACTTCTCTCTGTGTGTTCCCATTTTTTAACCTGTGTTGGAAGTCTAGGTGAACTCTACTGATCACATACAGAACAAGGCTCCCTTCTCAGAGCCTTGGGAAGTGTCAGCATTCTTGTGGGCTGAGGGGTTTATTTCTCGGCTTCCTCTGTGAAACTGGCTCCCCATACAAATACCATTTGGAAATGTGGGCAGAACACAATTCTAGCTATTTGGGATGCTGTCTGTTACAGACCACCCATGGGTTAGCTTTTAGAGCTTTCAACTCTGTTGAGTTCTTTGTGATATGAAAACAAAATTAAACAGTTTATCGATTGGGGAATAGATAAGCAAAATATGGTATGCCCATATAGTGATATACTATGCAGCACTGTAAAGCCAATGTGTGCTCTAATGTGGTTGGACAAAGTGTTATGCTAAGGGCCAGTGGTGTAGCCCAGTGGTAGAAGGCTTGCCTAGCACATGTGTGAGGCCCTAGATTCAGTTCCCAGTACTATAAAAAGAATGTCAAACAACAACAATGACAAAATATATGTGAAGTAAAAGAAGCCAAATACAAATGACTACAAATTGTATGGTTTACATAAAATGTCTAGAAAAGGCAAATCTGTTGAGGCAGCTGATTCCTGGGTGCCTAGGAGTTTTAGGACTGGTTGCCACTGAGTGCAAGGAATTGCATCAATAGAAATGTTCTAATATTAGAACTGATTCAATTCACTGAAAATCATTGAATTGAATACTTAATTTTATGTATACAAGGTGTGTAATGCCTCAATTTTATTTGAAGAACCAGAAAGAAAGCCACTGTTGAACCTCATCTACTATGAGGTTATCTGTGATGATTTTCTTTGGATGATCTTCAGAGAAACCTGGGTGAGCAGACTTCTTCTCAGGCTTCCTTTGGGTGGAGAGCCGAGAGAGGGCGCTGAGGGGGCTGCAGGGAGGGTCCTGTGTTTTCTGAGCACAAAATCCACAATGAGGTGGCACAGCAGGTGTACGCATGCTCAGTTTCTCATGCACTCTGCCCACACTTGTCACATCTGCACAGGAAGGTACATGGAGATGCATTCAAGGTGTCAGGGAAGGAAACGGGGGCTCTGAGGCTTATGACAACACAAAGCCTTTAAGTCACGGACTGTAGAGATTCAGCCCCCGAGGTTGGATTATGAGTCCACAATCTTTATTAGAAAAAAATTGCCAAGAAAAGGTGTATTTGCTGGAGTCGCACTGTGACCTCTGACAGTTGGAAATGCTTTAGGAGAAAGGGAAGCAGTTATGAACAGCAAATGGCTTGATAGCCATGGAAGGTAGAGAAGGGACAAGCCCAGTGGGGTCAGCTGCACTGGGTGGGCTGGCAAGCTATGGGTACTGATATGGACATGCTCCCTACTGCAGCAGGCAGACTCTGAGCCCCTGGACATGCTGGGACTTCCCTATAATTTTGTTTTTCAGTTTTTCTTGTTTTCCCTCCTTTGTTTTTCTTGTGTGGTTTATTTTTTTAATGTGTTAAGGAATGTTGGATGCACCAAGAGAATGAAGAATACTTACATGCCCACCAGCCACCTTAATAAATAAAACATTATCTGGTCTGTTTTTAAATTCACCACATATGAAGGGCATGCAAGCAAGCCAAGTCACACAGTGTTAGGAAAACCAGCCCTTGAGCTAGAAAAAAACCTGGATTCAAGTTCCACCTCCAGGCTTATTAACTTGGAGAAATCCCAGTGCCTTTCTGAGCTTCAGTAATGGAGGGAGGGGTGACAATGTTCCGTGTGCAGGGGTCAGGATGATAGACAGATACCATGCACTTGTGACTAGCCTGGAGATGAGCACTAGGCAGTCATAAAACTTGCTAATTGCAAACTGCCCTGATAACTGGGAATGACGCAAAAATAGATTTTGCATAGATTTCATCTCCAGGAATAGCTGTTATCTCTCCAGTGGACTCACATTTTGAGAGGAATTTGTCTCTTTCTCTCAAGTTCCTTCCTTCATAGGTGCTCATCTGAATGTCGACATTTGTTTGACTCTTAAGTTGCATCCCTTACTCAGGTCTCTGTCCAATCAATGACCAGAGGAGTGTTGTTTCAGTTGTTGGCTTCAGTTTCCCCATGACTGAAGTAGCTGACTGAGTCACCTTCCCCTCCCCCAGCCTCAAGTCTGTGATGTTCGTGTACTTATAAGGATGCTGTTCCTTCAGTTTCCTTGGGCTGGAGAAGAAAACAGCTGAAGTATTAAAGCTGAGCTACACAGTTAGGGGGTGTACCCCCATCGATGGCACTGTCTCTGCTGTCTCCATTGTAAGGGATAGTTCATAAGCAATGGCTTATGACTGGACTTCCACCTGTTGTTGTGGCATAATTAAGAGCCCCATGTATCAATATCGAGGTTTGGGCTGGAGAGATAGATGGTTTAGCAGGTAAAGGCATTTGCCACCAAATGACCTGAGTTCAATTCCTGGGGCCTACAGGGAGGAGAGCACTGACTTCTACAAGTTGTCCTCTGACTTCCACAAGTGTGCCATGGCATCCACTTCCTCCTCATGAATACAATGCACAATGAAGTTTAAAAATAAATTATAGTGAAGAGACATCTCAGTGGTTAAAAGCACTGATTGCTCTTTCAAGGGACTTAGATTCAGTTAACAGTAACTCCAGTTCCAGGGGATCCAACACCCACTCCTACAGGCAAAAGACGCAGAGGCTTTGAACCTTGCAACATGGAAACACATTTATAAAAATACAGTGCACACACATTTATGCCAGAAAGATACTCATAAAAATAAACATTTAATAACTAAGTCATGGTTTTCACAATAACTTTGGGAGAGGTACCTCTAGTACAGCATGAAGCTGGAGCTGTATGGCCATTTTCTTTTGGGTTCTGAGGCTGTGGTCTTCCTGTAGCACCAAGAGCGGTAGAGAGTATCTTTGTTGGTGATGAATCTTGATGCAGATGCCCTCATTTACTCTGCAAGGATGGCTTTGTGTGATGAGACTGCCTGTGGAAGTATTATTGTCTTTCCTCGAAGGCAGGAGAGATGATGTGACCTGTATAGCTTGAGAGTAGTAGGCTGGAGTCTAGAGGTGTAGACTTTGTAAATTCCATGTTTGCCCTGTCATCCTTCACAGAACCTGCTAGCCTCCAAAGTGTGGCGGGAAGACCGAATTCCAGTAGTCTGTATTGTCCGTTCCTTCATAGCCTGGGGAAAGGGATGCTTCAGCAAAACAAATGCTTTGTACCAGTCTAACTTGGGGGAAGGGGATTATAAAACAGGCCCAAAGCCCTGGCTGGCTGCCTTATCTTCTTTGCAGGGAACATGGCTTGTCCTGAAGGCATACATTACTTTGCTTCACACATTCTCTACACTGGACCTCGGAGGAAGCCCTTGTGCCTTCCTGGGCAGGTTTCCTCAGCCAGGGCTCAGCCAGAGGCCTGGATACACCATAAAAGCAGGACTGCTGTCTCCCACTCTCTCACAAGGTCCCTTAAGCTTCCTTGGCTTTGCTTTGGGCTAGCTCCCTCACTCATCAGCATAGCAGGAGGGTATAACGAGTATCACCTCTCCTGGTTTCCTTCTCTGATGTCCCTCTTTCTCGGTGGCCCTGCCACACCCCCTTGGAGTCAGTGTAGCCTCTTGCTATTGGCAGCTGGTATTAGAATTGCTACATAAAAGGATGGATGCTTAGCTTCTGTATGGAATAAATATTTTATTCCTTGCCACAGCTCTTTATGCATGCCTCAAGGCAAATGCATTTTAATGTCTGAAAAATACTGTATGGAATGTAAAACTCTTCCCGCTCTGTTCAAGTTTATTTTAACATAGGAAGTGTTTCATGTGAGCGCTGATGGGCTCTGGTTCTTATGTTCTTGACCCACATTCAACCTGAATTAGAGTTAAGGATTCAAAGGGAAGCTGAGCCATGGGTTTGAAAGGAAGATGAGCGGGTAGAGGACAGAGAGGATTTGGAGTCAGTGGCGGCCACTTGGCATGCTTGTGTGGCTTGAGGCTCAGATGTGGACTTGGCAGATTGCACTAGACCATACTGTCTCTGCTCGAGCCAGAGAGCAGTCTGGATCCAGAGTCTTGCCCAGATCACAGGCTCAGTCTTGAGGAGGACGCTCATTCTTTCACTGGTGTTCTTACTGAGAAGTTCCTCCTGGCTCTGACCAGCCAGCCAGCCAGTCCTGACTTGCCTGACTTCAACCCCATGGGGAGACTAAACTAATTTCTTTGTGGTTTAGGAGTGATCTTAATGGATGTCTTGGAGTTGAACTGAGGTGGGGCTGAAGAAGCCCATTGAATGTGGAAAGAAAGGGTGACAAGAATCTTTATTTTATTTAAACTGTCTGTGTAGAGGCTTCTTGAACATTTGTTCTAAAAACTACAATACGTATTAAGCAAGGAACTCAAGTTTTATTTATGAAAACAACAAGCAGATTGACTATGCTAAGTCATTTCTAGTTTAGACAGGGAAGGGGGGCAAATTATGTACAAAATTAGGTGTTCCTAAAAACATTTAAAATCTCATGGCACTTTCACTATGCCTCCAGTTTGAGGTTTGCTGTTTCCCATGTTTATGCATCTGGTTACAAGACTCTCCTTATTGTCTTGCAGAGATCAGGAATGGGAACCTCAAAGCCATTCTAGGCCTCTTCTTCAGCCTCTCCCGATACAAGCAGCAACAGCAGCAACAGCCCCAGAAACAGCACCTCTCATCGTCCCCTTTGCCACCTGCGGGGTCTCAGGTGGCCGGAGCACCTTCCCAGTGCCAGGCTGGCATTCCTCAGCAACAGGGGCTGGCCGCTCCCCAAGCCCCGTGCCAGCCTCTCCAGCCAGCTTCACATCAGCAAGCAAAAACACAAGCGGAAATGCAGTCCAGGTGGGCTCTGCGTGGGGATGCTGATCTTCAAGGTGTCCTTCACCCCAGCTGCATAGGGTAGCCTGTATGGTCTGTGGTTTTCATTTTCGAGGAACTAGCATGGCCTTGAGATAAATACAAGGCTTCCCCTATGTCGGGTGGAGATGTGTGCTCTTACAGGTCAGAATGGACAGCAGCTAGTGATAATACCTACCCCTGTCATAACTAGTCTGTAACACACACACATGCATGCATGCACACACGAATGTTTGCACGTACTTACTCTAGTGGCCTAAATCACTGCAAACATGGACTTCAAATCTTTTTGGTGTTGACCTGGAAGCCTAATGTTCAGTCAGGTGTAAAGATCATTTACTCAATGGTTGAAAAAGTTCTGTGCTAACACATGACCCCCTTTGCCATAGGAGAAGTAGAGGCAATGCCTAAGAAAAGTGGCAATAGGGGAAGAGTCAGCTGCCTTCCCAAGGAGGGTGAGAAGTGATGACAAATGTGCCTGGATTCTGCTGAACTTAGACAATGGGAGCTATGTGCCTTGAGCTTAGTGGAGGAGAGTCATGCTGAGCAGGAACATCCCTTGCCCTGCAGGATCCTTGCCACTCTTTCCGGAGGGACCCATGCCTAACACTTACACTGGCCACAGAAGAAAACAAAGTGGAATTTAGTTATTGTCCGTGCTTCAATGGGAATAGGCATGTGGATTTATAAGCCATTCTGTAAAAGATCTCCCACAAATCATTTGCTTTCGTGGCAGAAAAAAGGACCAATGATGGGTTAGGAACTTGAAAGCTTTTGGCTTAGGAGAAAGTCTTGCAGCAATGCCTATTGCAACTGTTTTCTGTAATGCTACCAGTCTTTAGCTGTGAAACCCAGTGCCAGTGATCTGACTGGTTGCTTGATTTACTCGAAAGTGTCCTGAAAAACTGTATGCCCCAAAGCACCAGTGCAGAAGGCTTCTTGAACTCTTTGGATCTTTTAACACCTGCTGGCTAGAAGCCAAACCCAGAGCTGCTTGACCCCCAAATCCCATGGAGTCACAGCTGTGTTTCCCCATGAAAGGTGCAGTTTCCCAGCTGGTAGGGTGTTATAGCCAGGAGTTATGGGTCTAATGTAAATGATGCTCCCTAATTAATTATCTAATTATCCAACTGGTGCTATGGAAATTTTGAATTAGGAGAGTAGCATGGACTAGCAATGAGAGAGGGGAGAGGGAAAAGGAGAGGGAGAGAAAGTGAGGGTGGGAGAGAGAGAGAGAGAGAGAGAGAGAGAGAGAGAGAGAGAGAGAGAGAGAGAGATAAGCATCCAGATAACCGTTGCTCTTTCCTTGGGAGGGATGCCTGACTGGGATCTGTCCCCTGGCTGGAGGATCCCTGGTGGCCCTGGGTGATTTGTTTGATGAGTCCATCATTTCCCACACTGCCTTCTACATAGGCTTGTTTCCTGGATTACTCATTAAAATTACAGTGCATGAAAAAGATCCTGTGGGGGAAGTGGAGAGAGCATCCCAGTTGAGTTGTTATGATGGTTGTTGTGTGTCTGCTCAGGACCTTGAATCTGCCAGTATGCACTCCTTTATCTACTCAGTGCAAAGCCTTCTATGTGCCAGGTCTTGTTAGTCACTTGGGAGTCAGAGATAAATGATAGCCACGATGCCTGCTCTCTGCATGTTGCTGGAGGAGGCTGCACACCAAGCATATGAACAGAGAGGAAGATGGGAGAGGCAGTACGTCTGCAGGAAGATGATGGGATTCGGGGTTGATAGTTTAGGTTGTGTTGATGGGAAGGCCCTTCTGAGCACATGGCACCTAGTGAAGACAGGTGAATGAAAAGAAACTAACTATGCAAACCTCAACCTCAGAGATCTGGCAGAGGGAGCAGCTAGTCTGGAGGCTCTGTGATAGGAGCAAACTTGGCATGAGAATGAGGAAAGACAGAACTGGAAGGTTGCCTGCAAGCCAAGAAGGCAAGCGAAGAAGGCAGCTGCTACCTTCCTTGTGGGGGACAATTGTGTGGCAATACAGCACTGAGGTCAGGCTGAATAAAGTGAGTTTGGACTCTGTTCTTAGGTGCCAGGAAGCTACAGGAGGCTCAGATTTAACATTTTTTAAAAATCTCTTTGGTGGATGAGCTTGTGGGGAGTAAGAGTAAAATGAAGAACTTTGCAGTCTAGGTGACGTGAGTAACTTGAAACAAGATGGTCTGAAGCAGATGGAGGTGGACCTTGAAGTGTATTTGGGATTTGGACCAAGGGGCCACTATCTAGAGTGGGGGAAGAAGAGAAAGCCCAAACAATAAAGCCAGATTTGTAGGTTTATAAGAAAGGCAACTTGCTGCTAATGAACACTTTACCTCCAGAAAAGCCAAATCAAGCAAAATTCATTTATTCCAACTGCAGAACGGTTCTTGTCACCATGTCACTGCTTTATGTCCCCTACACAGTGGTGGCATGGACGAGGATTTGAGTGGTTATGTCCTCATCTACCTCTCTATCCCACCAGGCTTGATTACTTCTGCACACAGTGATCCCCTTGTTGTGCCTGTTGCTTTCTACTTTTACTTTCAAAGGGATCATGCTAAGGTCTAGACATGGCCTATCCCATGCTAACACTCTGGCTATGAACTTACAGATGATAACATCACATTATTGGCAGCTTGCACTGTGTTATTAGCCCCATTCTACCTTTGGTAGCCAAAGTCCTAAAGACTAACCATTTGGACCATTGGCTATATGTGTCAGGTACTATTGCAAGCCAAGTCTGTTTTGATAGAACTCTTCGAGATGCAGACATGCCCATTAAGAAGACGTCTAGGTTCAACATATCCCAGGGCAGCAAACACCAAAATTTGTCAGCTTTCTAGGAAGCTGGCCAAAATTACTCAAGGACATCTGAGACATTGGCATGAGGATGTCAGAGCAGCTTCATTGCTGTACAGTCTGCATCATGACTGAGCACTTGGTCCATAGTTCACAACATGAAGTTTCCTACAGTATAGGCTGTCAGGAAGGAGCACATTTTCTAAGCCTTGCATTTTTCCCATTTGTGTCTACCTTGAATACAATCCATATTCCATTATTTAGGAGACATCCAAAAGTTGCTTGATTTCTTTTTTTCTCACCATCCTTATCTCTCCCTTCACTTTCCAAGAACAGTATTTCTTAACACAGGCTTTTTTCTGTGAATGGAGTGCAAGAAAAATGGATGTCAGATGATAACTGTTTCAGGCTAGGAGATGGCTCTGAGGTAGAATGTCTGCCATCCCCAGTACCCTAACTTTCATCTAAAAAGACATAAGAAAGATAAACAGCACAAAATAACTGCAAATTGTCCTTGATTAAATCTGACCAAGAGAAACCCTGTCTTGGGGGGGAAGGGGGAGAAAGAATCGATATGTATACATTTATGGGGCATTTGCTTTTACACCCCAGTGAACAAAATTGTCAAATAAATACATCAGTGTTTTAGAAAGGATTGCTTTATACATTATAAATGCTTCGTACTTCAGGCACTGCACTGATTTAAAGAGGTGCAAAGACAGGAAGGAGGAGCCAAGGCAGGGGGATTACCACAAATTCTAGGCCAGCCCAAAATATCTACTGAGAGTGATTCTCAGATTAGCCTTGGCTTCAATGTGAGACCCTATCACAGAAAACCAACTCAAACAAACACAGAGTATAAAGAAATCATGTAGCTGAGTGAAGGCAGAAAAGATATTTCGTATGGTGGGGGTGGGGCACAACATGAACGTCCTGAGACAAATCTTTTGTTTTACAGTCATTGGGACAAACCTAGGGCCTTGCACATAGTAGGCAAGTACTCAGCTACTGATTTATATCCCTAGCTTTCTTTTTACTTATTTTAAAATAAGGTCTCACTAAGTTGCTAAAGCTCGCCTTGAGCTCACTCTATAGTTCAGGCAGGTCTTAGACATGCCATCTGTGGTGTTTCATGCCATTTTTGATGGTCATGGACTTAGCCTCTGAAACTGGTTGCCCCAATAAACTCTTCTATCAGTAGCCTTGGTCATGGTATCTCTTTAGAGCAATAGAAAAGTAGCAAAGACACTGTTCTCCTGCCTCAACCTCTTGGGTAGCTGAGATTACAAGTCTAGGTTTTAGATAATCTTGATTGTCATTTCTTCACATTGTAAGTGTATCAAATCACTGGAGTTAGGCCTAGAGGACACTGTGTTTAGTGAAAATATACATAGGACCAGCCCAGGTACCTTCCTCTTGGCGTGTCTAACGAGTCTTTTCTCCTCACTCATCTGTCCCACCTTTTCCTTCCTGCCCTGCAGTGCCTCATCCAAGGACTCATCTCAAAGCAAAATCATCCGCTTCACTCTGGGTCAGAAAAAGATCTCTAGGTTAGCAGTTCTCTGTGTCCTATAAAGCATGGTTTACACGCAGCCCTCTCTTCTTGTTTCCTCCTCACTGGCTGACTTCCCTTTTGATTCCCATCCCTGCTCTGTGTCTCCAGTTGCCCGAACCCAAACATGCTTTGGCTAATGGTTCAGCTTGGGGAGTTGTGGGAGTGTGTTTATGTGTATGTGTATGTGACTGGCTCTGACTGGATGTTTCTCACTGTGTTGATTTCACCTCATTACCAGAATGCCATTCATAGGAGGAGGTGAGTTTCCAGGTAGTTACATAGCAATTTTACGATGAATGCATTTGCTCCCTGCTTCATCCCATCCGTAATCCGCATCTCCTTTCTGTGTGCTGTGCTTTGGCTATGGTCATTGTTGCTCAATTACTAACTGGGGTAGGGTTCCTTGTGAGCTGAGATCTGAAATGTGAATTCGCAGCAGAAGGCTATCCTGTCCTGTCTTTGTTTCTGGATTCTCCTGCCCACCATGGGGAGGTTGCCTCAGTTTCTTGGAAAAACAAAAACAAAACCCAGCTAGCTAGTCTGCAGGCATCCTGTCCTGAACCCTGGGACCCATGCTTGGGTGTGGGAAAACCAGGTACATTGTAACATATACAGATTTTTTTTAATCCTTGC